GGGCTGGGCTCTGTGGAGGTGGACAAAGAAATAGCGTCAACAATGAAAAATAAAAAAAGTTTTTTAAAGTACATATGTGACTTGCATTGTATTTGTATTAGACAGGACTATTCTAGAATATAGAAATCTTAAAGCAAGAAACTTGACAAAAAGAACCTTCCTACTTCAAAGTTTGGGATACTTTTGGTATGCTGTTCATCATAAATAATATTGCAGAAAAGCAAGGGAATCAAAGTACTAAGGGAAGCCATGGGATTGCCAAAGAAGTTAGTGCAATTTTAGGTTGCATTGATTTTTACCAGGAAAAATTAACTATTCTTTTCTCTTCTGAAGTGTTTTTGTTTGTTCGTTTGTTTTAGGTTCATATTTTAAGAAAGATATAGGCAATCTAGATTGTATCCTTGGTAAGACTCCTACGAAGATGAGAAGGCCTCATCACCACCCCGTGGAAGGCAGCAACTATTGGTGGGCAAAGACATAAACATATTCAGCCAAGTGAGGAGACTCAAGAGACATGATCGCTGTTGTCATTAGCAGGAAGTTTGCTCTGTGAAAGTGGAATTGACCCGAAAGTTTCAATTAGGTCCAAATTACTACTAGAGAAGATGATTCTAACTTTAATACTATATGGAACAATTTTACCAATTTGGGTTGTCCAAAAATAGAAGGAACTACCTTACGAGAGTTTGTCACCAACAATTCAAGCAGGGAATTATACAGAGGGTTATATGTCAGGTAGACAGACTTTCCAAGTTTTTCAAACTGTGAAATTCCATGATTAGGTCTTTATTTACAACTAATTCTGGCAGAGAGCTGCCAATTCATGCATTATGACCAGAAAAACTACAGTTCAATGACTTAAATTTGCTTTTTGTTTAAAATATATAATAATTCACTTGATTAAGTTCAAGGAACCAGGGATTATTGTAGGAAAATGTATGGTAGATACGGATCTCACAAGACACAGGGAGAGGCACAGTGATACAGCAGACTTGATGGAAACTGTAACAGGAACTGAAGCAGCATCTGCTATCTTCCCCTTAGGCTGGTCGATCTCTTTCTTCTTTATGGTATCTGCCGTTCTCAGCCTTCTCCCGCCATTCTATTCTTGATACTGACTGGCTTCATGGAACTCTACTCAGGCATCATTTCTGCTTGTTAATTCATTTCTGTTTGCCTTTCAAGGCTTCTATGACCTTATAGCATGAGTCTTCCCACAGCAAAGAAAATGATGTCTTTCTTGTTTTTCTCTAGTCTTCCATTTTCCCAATTTTAGTTTCATGAGAACAATTGGCCCAGCTTTTCTTTTCAAGCCCAGATCATTGGCTACAGAATGGATGGACTTTTCTTGAGTCAGGTGGCTTCTACTGATCCAAAGAGCTGGGACTGGGGAATACTAAAAATTCAGGGATCTACTTAAGTTATTCTCTGTATAGGAAGAGAGAACCTATTTAAAAAGTTCTGGTTTGGGGCTAATGATAAAAATATGAATTTAGCAGTAGGATGTGTTGTAGGATCCTGCTACTCAAACTGTAGTCTATAGAGCAGCAATGTCAACACCACTTAGAAGCCTGTTGGAAATCAGAATCTAAAGCTCTATCCCAGGCCTACTAATTTAAAATTTAAAATTTTAAGAAGATTTCCAGGTGATTTGCATTCACGGTTCAGTTTGAGAAGTGTAGCTCTAAGATGAACTGATTTGATTGATCTATAGACATGTGAGAACAAGTATGAAGTTGTCAGAAGTTTTGTGAGTTAGTTGATTTCATGTTTGGTAGCTTGAAATCAACTATTGTGTGAACATTTACACCATGGAGATAGGCAGATGTTACAAATTCATTTCCTTTGTATCAGGAGCCTGTCATCACTTACCAGCAATTCCACTGGGCAATCTAGGATTTAGTCTCCTAGGGGTTTTTGAAGAGAAGCACCCATTCATGGGGGAGGGAAGACAGAAAAAATGAGTTCCAATTCCTTCCAAACTTTCAACTTTATGGCTAAGAAATCATTATTCGAGATAGTAATTTCTTTATGAAAAAAATAATCTAAGTCTGAAGTAAGCCCAAGGAAGGAAGGGAATCTAGGAGTTAGTAATACTTAAAATCCAAAGAGGCAGATAGGCAAACATTGGACATTTGCCCAGCTGACAGATGGCTAGTTTAGTAGCTGCAATCAGGTGTGCAGAAGCAGTTTCTGAATAGAGGAGATAGATAAGAGTGGATAGATTCTGGTCCTAAAGACACCATGTGGGGGAAATTCATGTTTTTATTGCCTATATTATTTGGAGCATTAAATTATTAAACAAAACAACTCCTCCCCAAGATAATGACAGGTAGGATGCAAATGTTTCATAGTATTACAGAAGGAGTGGTACTGGACCAGTACATCAACATCACCTGAATACTTATTATATCCTAGTACATGCAAATTCACAGGCCCACCCTAGGCCTACTGGATCAGAAACTCAGTGGGGTGCAGCCTGGCAATCTGAGTTTTAACAGGTCTTCTGGGTAACTCTGATGTACACACGGAAGTAGGAAGTGTCATGGAGTTCCTTTTTTTTGGTCCAGTAAGACTCATTTCCCATTTGAACCCCAAATGAGAAGTGACTCTTCTTGCAACGAAGTCTTCAGCTCAACTGGAAGATGGTTGGTTGACGGAGGCAGAAAACACAAATCAGGAGAATCACAGGGCTAAGCAAATATTTAAAAGCTTTGCTTAGCCAAGCAGGCAACTGGCATGTTGCCAAGACTCCTAGAGAGTATAAGCCTTCTCTAGAAATCAACTGGAAAAGGTTGTTTTAAAGTGAACTTTGAGGAAGTGCATAAACACAGCCTAAAAATTTCCTTCAAATACAAATAAAAGTTCTAATATAAAGAAAGTGACTTCCTAGCACATAGAGATAAGAAGAGGGATAAGAATAGCAGGTATCATATTAAGAAATAAGCAGATATTGGAAGAAGGGATATTAGAACAGCATATTCATTTTGCCTCTCTGGTTCCTTACTAATAACAACATTTAACATTAAATGAGTGTTGATTCTGTGTCAGGTACTGTAGTAAGTACCTCAGTAAATTATCTCATTATTAGTTCCAGATGAGGAATCTGAGCTCAGAGAGATATAGTAACTTGCCCTGGGTCATATGGCTAGTTAGTGGTGATACTGGGATTCAAAACCCAGGAAATTTAGCTTCAGAGCACCACTGCTTAACCAGAATGTTCTACTGCCTCTCTTCAATGAGAATTTCACATGTATTAAACATTTAGAGTCTTGGATTTCCCCATTTCAGAGTGTGGATTTCTGTAGTTATTATAAGTTTCAAATTAAATAACTTCTTTCTATGGTGTTATATATAGATAACTGGACTCTGAATCCCATCAACTAAAGTCATTTAATTCTAGTGCTCCGAGTGAGTAATTAGGTAAAGAAGCTGCACCTCTATAGGGCATTGTTTTAATAGGGCTTACAAGCATAGTACATGAGTTCCACATTGAATATTTAAATTCTCTTGTTTTGAAAGAAGACACAAAGAAGTACACAGATGGGGGCCAGCTCACTCTGGCTACAGAAAGGGTGGGGTATCTAGTCTAAGGACCAGCACCTCTAATCTGGGTGTTTGTTTTGTCTGAATGGTTTTGTTAAATTTGCTCCTATTCTGGCATTTGTCCACAAGTAAAATTCATTTTTATACAGAGATTAAAAAAATAAACAAGACACGATTTCTGCCCACACTGAGCTCAGATTGATGGGGAAAACAGAAATATTGTGGGGATGGTCGCACGACTCTGTGAATGTTTGAATTGTACAATTTAGATTGGTGGGTTGTTTGGTATGTAAATTAAATATCAATAAAACTCTTGAATCTACCCTAAAATTGACTTATATCTGGCTTTGTTTGTTTGTAAAGAGTTTTATTGATATTTAATTTAGAAGAGATGGTCATAACTCAGCCTGGGAAGAGAGAAGGGAGGCTTCACCAGTGATTAAAGTCTGCACTGAAATCTTTAAAAACAGTTACCTGGGTGATGTGGTACAAGATATTCCAAACAGAGGGGCCAGAATGAGCAGCCGAGCATGGTGGTGATGAGAAACCCTGGATGTGGGGGTGGGGAAGAGGTTGGCAGGAAAATTGAGGCTGGGGAGGTAGGTGGTGGCAGAAGCAGCTTCAGAGGTAGTCCCTGGAGGGTTTTGTTTAAACCGGGAAGTGACACAATCTGTGACCAGATTTGTTTTAGATAAACCACACGGTCAGCTGTAATGTAATGGGAAGAATACTGGTTTCTCTATCTCCTCCCCTCCCCTTCCCGCCAGTCTGAATAACCTGTTCTAGGTCTTACATTTGCCATATTAAAACTAATAGTGTTCTATCAACTTGTTAAGTCTTATTATTCAGTTGATCCTAATTTAATGCCATAGTTAGCCAGCAGGGGCAAAATGGAGAGCTGATAAATATGACCTTTCCCTCTCTGACCTTGCGCTGAGTTAAAAGGTTTGTCAGTGATTGGGGCACCCACCTCGGGTGTAGTGGAAAGCCTCGCGAATTTTTAAAATCTTTACAAGATTGGCAAGGTGGCGGTGGAAGCTGGTGAGATTCTTCAGAGTTTCTATTTTTCATACTTTCCTGGGTTACTCTCACAACCTATTAAAACGATCGTCCCGCGTACACCTGCAGAATCAAACATTAAGATGGTTAGGACATCGCCAGCAGGACCGTGTTCTGCAGGAAGAGCAGATTTCCTTGAACACGGTCACGTTCTCCAGCCGGAACCTTGAAGCTGCGGCGTCCGGGGCAGCACGGAGCGCTGAGGGGAACACCGCCACGGGGCACGCCGTCCAGCGCCCTTCCCACTCGGCACCGGAGCCGGTTGGGTTCCCGCCCCTTTCTTGCTCCTCTTAATCACCTTCCCCCTCCGCCAATTCCGGAAGGGAACCCTTTCAAAATTTCTTCCATGTGGGAGCGTAGGACCAATTTCATCAGCACCATCCGGAATGGCCAACATGGCGGCGGCCGTCAGATATCTCGGTAGAGGTAAAGCCAGGCGTTGTGTGGGCTTGGGGGAGAAATGACCTGTGGCGCGGGGGTCTCCTGTGGTCCAGGGTGCGAGCCAGACTCCTGCGCACAGGTCTGCGCTGGGGGCTGGAAACGCCTCCTGCTCTTTTGGGCTCCAGGTTCTTCAGGGGGGTCATTACTGTGGAAAAGCCACCTTCTCCGCGGTCCCCCTCCCTCTGGAGCCGTCCACAGCGGGGGTGCAATGGGAGGAGGAGGTACATGGACACCCCTCCGGCCGCTCGTGGCAGCCGAGGCTGTTTCCGATGCCGGTGGGTGCAGCCAGAGAGAGGAGTTGGCTGCGCAAAGGGAGTTGTGATCAGGAAAAGGTTCTGTATATGCAGGTGTGTGGCTCACCCCTGTAAACTTTAAAGTTTACAGAATGCTGGGGCGTTCAGGTACTGCATGGTTGCAGCTGATTTCAGTTCTTAAACTTCCGAAGACCGTTGTCTAATTGGGATCAGCAGTTGTCATCTGATGGCTAATTCAGGCATACTTCTAAAAAAAAAAAAAAAAAATATATATATATATATATATATATATATATATATATATGATTTTTTTTTTTTATAGAGAGGAAGAGAGAGGGATAGAGGGATAGAGAGTTAGAAACATCGATCAGCTGCCTCCTGCACACCCGCCACTGGGGATGCGCCCGCAACCAAGGTACATGCCCCTGACCGGAATCGAACCTAGGACCCCTCAGTCCTCAGGCCGAGGCCCTATCCACTGAGAGGCATCCTTCTTGGTAGCAGCTCTTCCTCAGCATTTCACAAGGTCCAGTGAAGGGCTAGGATGTCAGCCCTTGTTTGGCACATTGCTTTTTAATTTTTGTTCTGTGTTGTGTTTTTGAAGCACAGGAATGTGTATTATTTAGTTACGACGGATCTTTTGGTGGAAGCATCATCTAGCATCACCCCCATTTTATATATGTCCAAGGTCCATACGTGCACGAATCTGTTGTTGGGCTGTTTATTGTTTTATTACGTTGTCTTTCTGTACCTGTGCCAATACCACAGTCTTAATTACCATAGCTTTATAACAAGTCTTGATCTCTTGATCAGTTCCTTCACTTTTTTTCATATCTTTCAGCAGCAACTCTGTGAATGTATTATCTATTTTTAAAAATGAGTAAAATTTTGCCGAAACCGGTTTGGCTCCGTGGATAGAGCGTCTGTCTGCGGACTGAAGGGTCCCAGGTTCGATTCCCGTCAAGGGCATGTACGTTGGTTGCGGGTGCATCCCCAGTGAGGGGTGTGCAAGAGGCAGCTGGTCGATGATTCTCTCTCATCGATGTTTCTAACTCTCTGTCCCTCTCTCTTCCTCTCTGTAAGAAATTAATAAAATATATATATTTTTAAATGAGTAAAATTTAAATTATTTTATATATTCAGGACAGACATACATATTCTGTAACATACTTTGAGCCTGAACTGGATTAAGTTAAAAATAAGTGAAGGCAAAATTGTTCAGTTAGTTGTGTTTACTTGGCTTTAGTTTTAAGAAGTGGAGTGTCCATTATTACACTTTTTTAAAAAAAAGTATATTTTATTGATTTTTTACAGAGAGGAAGGGAGAGATATAGAGAGCTAGAAATGTCGATGAGAGAGAAACATCGACCAGCTGCCTCTTGCACACCCCCTACTGGGGATGCGCCCGCAACCAAGGTACATGCCCTTGCCCGGAATCGAACCCGGGATCTTTCAGTTCGCAGACCGACGCTCTACCACTAAGCCAAACTGGTTTCGGCCATTATTACACTTTTTAAAGAATCGTTAAGAATCACAAAGTATTGAATGTTTTTGTTTTGGAAAAACGGTGATTAAGAATATAAAAATTGTGAATGTAATTATTATTTAATATTAATATTTTACATTTTTTTTCTTTCAAGTTGTGATACATCAAAGGCATAATCTTTCCAAGACGGCTTATCAGACCCGTCTTTATCCTTGTTCTGCATGTGTTCATGTGCTTAGTAGACATTTCGCTGCTGCTGCTGCTGCTAGGAAGTAAGTATTTTTTTTTTAGTTATTTCGTTTGCTGTCATCCTAAATTTTGATTAAAAAAATTATGCTCAGTTCCATAAACAGATATAGGGACATATAGTTGTAAAAGCCTATCATCTCTGCTTTTTTGGCTTTGTAGTACTGAATAAAGTATATAACTTAAAACAATACTTAATATTGACATTCAGTTATTGTGTTTAATCCCTACAGCAACCTTATGTGGAAGCTATTGTTATTATATTCTCTTTTAGAAACAAAAAGCAAGGCACTGATAGATTATGTAACTTGTGCAACATCACAGAGCTAATACGTGTTGAGGCTAGGATTTTGTGATATAATATGTATTTACTGGTCCATTGGTCTCTGCCCAGTTCCTGACAGAGCTTCTAAAACCCTTGTAAATCTCCTATAGGGATGCTAGGTGCATCTTTTTTTCTTATAACGGGGTCTTTGACCCATTTCCTGATACGAAGTTTCTAAAACCCTCGTTATCTCCTGGGTGATAGGAGCACCTTTTTACTAACAAAGCAATTGTTGGTGGGCTCCTGGATTGGGGCTGGTCGTCAGAGAGACCAAAACATGGTTAGAAGCTAAGAACTTTCAGGTCCACTCTCCATCCTCCAGAAGAAAGGAGAAGGCCTAGAGATTGAATTCATAATTGAGCATGCCTACATGATGAAGCAGCCATTAAAATCTCTGAACTATGGAGTTCAGAGATTCTAGATTAGTGCACACACTTATGTGTCAGAGGGGAGTGCTCCCAACCCAATGGGGACAGACCCTTCTGGATCTCATCCTATATACCGACTTATCTAGCTGTTCATCTGTAATCCTTTATCATATTCTTTATTATATAAGAAACCAGTGAGTATTTAAGGGTTTCTCTGAGTTCTCTGAGGCTTTCTAGCAAATGATGAAGTCTGAGGAGGGGATTATACTTCACCCTGAGTTATAGCTTGTTGGTCAGAAGTACCGGAGGCCTGGACTTGAGGTTGGCATCTGCAGGGAAGGCAGTCTTGTGAGACTGAGCCTGTAACTTGTGGGATCTAATGCTAAACCAGGTAGCTACGATCAGAATTGTATTGAATTGTGGAACACCTAGCTGATGTCAGAGAATTAGATGGTGTGGGGAAAAAGCCTGTGCATTTGGTATCAGAATTCTTGTGAGTAGAGGAAAATAGTTTCTATTTAACCAGATACTTTGTTCTGTTCTTCCTTACTTTTAACTTTTAATTTGCTTATTACTTTTAACTTTTAACCATATACTCTGTTCTGTTGTTCTTGCTTACTTTGAATAATCTCCAGATCTATCTCCACATATCTTGGAGATTGTTTCAGATAGGACTGTGTAGTCATTCTTTTGTTATTGAGTTGTAATGAACATATAACATATAGTTTCAGGTGTATAGCATAATGATTTGGTATTTATATATATTGTGAAATGTTCACCACAATCAGGCTAGTTAACATCTATTATTATATAATTACAACTTTTTTTCTTAAAATGAGAACTTTTAAGGTTTTTCTCTGCAACTTTCAAGAATACAGTACAGTATTATTTACTACAGTCACCATGCTGTAAATTACATTTCCATATTTATTGTAAGGTTTATACATTTTGACCATTTTACCTACCCCTCACCTCTGCCTCTGACAACCACTAATCTATTCTCTTTCCCCCCCACCTTATTCCACATATAAGTAAGATCATATAGTACTTGTCTTTCTCTGACTTATTTCATTTAGCATAATATCTTCAGGATCCATCTATGTTGCGAATGACAAGATTTTTTGGCTTAATAATATTCTATAGTTATGAGAACATGAAACACAGAGTTTATTATCTTATTTTCTTATATTAGCAACTGTAAACCAACTTTTGCCCTACCCTGTATATACCACATTTTCTTTGTCCATCCATCCATCAATTGACACTTAGGTTGCTTCCATGTTTTGGCTATTGGAAATAATGCTACAGTGAACATGAGTATATTTCATTGTGTGACTTTACCATTTTCTATTGCTTTACATTTATTGTTTCAATTTTTTACTATTACAAATGATCCTGCAATACTAGTCATGTACATAGATTTTGTCAAATATTATGAATATGTTTATAGTGTAAATTCTGAGAAAAAGAATTTTTGAGTATAAAGATGTGTCCTGGTGTTGAACGTTGACATATGAACCAGGGTCATGATTCGATTTCCAGTCAGGGCACATGCCCCGGATGTGTGCAGGAGGCAGCTGATCAGTGATTCTCATCATTGATGTTTCTATCTCTCTCTCCCTCTCCCTTTCTCTCTGATGTCAATAAAATAAAAAAACGAACAATTTTAATTAAAAACAAAAAAACTCTTCTCTTTGATATACAAAAAAATGTGTGCATTTATGATTTTGATAGGTAATAACAATTTGCCCTTATAAGAGATCTTTTCAGTTTACGTCCTTACCATCAAGTATTATTAGAATGCTTATTTTCCCATATACAGACAGTGTGTATTAAAATTTTTTATTGTTGCCAATTTGATAGGTAATAAATGGTTTCATTATGGTTTTAATTTATACTTATTTTATTATTGAGGTTGTATATCTTTCATATGTTTAATAACAATTTAAAAAATATATTTTATTGATTTTTCAGAGAGAAAGAAAGAGGGATAGAGAGTTAGAAACATCAATGAGAGAGAAACATCGATCAGCTGCCTCCTGCATACCCCCCACTGGGGATGTGCCCTTGACCAGAATAGAACCTGGGACCATTTAGTCTGCAGGCCGACACAATATCCACTGAGCCAAACTGGTTTCAGCAAGAACAATTTTTTTTACTGTGAATTTTCCGCTCATGTCCTATTCTCATTTTTTTTTTGCTTGTTGATTAACAGAAGCTCTCTGTATATTATAAATTATCAAAAATCTGCACGATAACTCTTAACATATTGTAACTGTTATGGTAGAGGAATGGATCCAGTGCTGTGGGATCTCAGATGGAAGGTCATTTAATTCCACCCGCAGGAAAGTAGTGCAGGGAGTATTGATGTTTGAGCTGGGTCCTGAAAGATAGTTTTGAAGGGGAATTTGAGAATGGTGTTTCAGTGGTATAGAGGCATGAGAGTAAATGATATGGATGTAATACAGTCTGATATGACTTGAATATAGGATAAAGAGAGAGATGGTGGGAAGTTTAGGTGGGCTGGAGAGGGTTGATGGGGGCGGAGGAGACATATGTAAAACTTTCAATAATAAAGATTTTTTTTTAAAAGAAAGAGATGGTGGAAATATAACTAGAAAGGAGGCTTCCTTTGAGTTTGAAGAGTACCTGGATTATCTTTTCATGTTGAGAAGTTTGAGGACTATTGGTTGTGCCAGTTTACAACCCTACCCAGAAGTGAGTGAGAGTGTCTAGTTTTCCATATTCCTAACAACCCTGGATATCATCAGTCTTTATGTTTCTTTAGTGTATTTCTAATTTATATATTTTGCCCATGTTTTTATTGGGTTGTTCATTTTTCTGCTTTCGTATAGTATTCGTTTATTAGGGATAGCAATTATTTTGAGAACATTTTATGTTTAAACGTGTGTTTTTTTGTCCTACAGAAATTTTTCATTTTATATTTTCTTAAAATTTGTATTCTAGTACAACTTTTAAAACAATTTCACTAACCTAAAAAACATAGTATAAGAAGTTTGCATACTTAAAAAAAAAAGAATTATTACCAATATTTTTATGCCTGACAATGAGTTATTCAGTAGCTTGAAGAGGATCATAGTATTCATAATTCTAGTTGTAGTTTTAATTTTTAAATTAAATATACTGACTTTATAATATACTAAAGATACAGTTTTTTCATGGCTATTTTTTTTTTTTTTTTAAATCAGGGTCTGAGACAGAGGGGCTTGCTTTTTTTCTCTTATCTCTTATTTCTTAATCTCCCTGCTCCTCCATACATTTAACTTGAATATAATTTTTTACCAGTGGCAGGTTCTGGTTAAAAAAAAAAAAAAAAAGGAAGAAAAAGGCCACTGTATCATCTCTGACTCTGGTTCTTTTCCTCTCCTGGGGTTATTTTTTTCTTCAAGTATTTAAAAAATTTCTGTGGACTGCCAGACATTTTGTGTAGCACGGTCGAGATTGAAGAACGTGGTATTTATGCCTGGAAATGTGCATGCCCCTTCTGTCATAGCCTTGATTCAATCCAGTCAGTTGATCTAGGTTTTGGTTTTATTGTTGCTATGGTTACCATTGGCTTCATATTTCTGTACTGTCACTGTTGCTTTCAGTGGGGGCTGGGCTGTGGAAGGTTTGTCTTCAGAGTTCTGGGTCCTGATCAGTTTTCTGTCTGCAGTTTTTGGGGGAGAGTGGGGAGTACAGCGCAGAGATTTGGGGGTTCAGGATGGGGGGTGGGTGTCTCTGCATACTCTTACCTCTCCCCTAGACTGTTGTTGCTTATTGCCAGGCTTGTTAGGCTGGGGATAGATATGTGAGAGAGAGTCTATTTTTTCAAATCCAGCATTTATCTTAAGTAGGCACAGTGTGGCTAGACCTTGGGGATGGGTCGTCTTAATGTTTTTGTTCCTTGTCCCCATGGTAGGTATCTGTCACAGACCTTGTGTGAGAATGTCCGGGATCTTTCCCGTCTTTATTAGTAGAGGATACTGCTTGCAGGACTGTTTCCTTCTCTGCCCTTAAGGGTAGAAGTTTTAGTACTTTTTTCTTCTTTCTTTTTCCTGCACAGAATGGATGTTTACCTATGCCCTGGGTTTCAGGGTTCTGTGCTTTTCTGGCAGCAGTGGCTGATCTCCTTATCTGCGCCCGTAAGGGAGGATTTCCAGTCTCTTGGCCTGCTCTTGTATTTCCTGAGTATCAGTGGAGGTCTGTGTAGGGCCCTACGAGTGTGAACTTCCCTTGTGTTTGGATCTTCCAATGAGGTTTATACTGACCCTCACCCTAAAATGTTAGCTGATTTCTTTTCCTTACCTGCTTTCCATTCTCTCACACTCTG